GCCCCCCCCCTCCGGTAAGTCTGAGGTTCATAGCTCTAAAATTCAGCACAGCACAGATAATCTATTTGTGTAGCTTTGGGCTTAACACAAACAATGAACACAGCCAACTGAATATGATTAGACGCATACGTTTTCTGTTCCCAAATGTCACTTCATAACGGCTGTTTGTTTCTGATCTCATAAAACAAAACAACTTAAAATCTGTAAAGCCCATATACATGTTTGAATTCTTACTATTAATTCAGGTTTAAATTTTGAATTTATGAAAAACGTGTTCTGCGTTAACCCTAGAAATCTCGATGAACCCACCAGCCATTTTAAACACAATTTTTCTAAATTATTTATACAACAAATTTCATGTGGGTCAAGTAATTTTGTGGTTAAAGATTCAAAAACAAGGTCAATATCGTAATTAATTGTACTGATTACTGCTAATGTATTTTATTTATTCTTATAAATTTGTTCTTTCCTTGCCAGGTTATTTTATATTATTGAATTATTAAATAATTCAAAGTCCAGTCCACGTAAACGACAAAAAATTAGTCTATTTTTTACTCAACGCTTTTACAAGCTTGAACATGGGAAACTTGTAAGCCACATTTACAAATGATATTAACTCCACTATGTTGACATAAAGAATCAACTTACTTGTACCACTTCAGGGCTGAAATGGAAACAAAAATCATTTTTTGTCTCGCTCTACCGGCTAGAAACAACTCTACTATCCTGAAACAACTCTATTATCTTCTCGACTATCTTCTGTTTATTCTCCATCCTCGAATTTACGAGAAAATTTGATGTCAAATCTTTTAGAACTTTCTAGGAGTTCTAAGCCTATCTGATCTTAATGTCATCGTTACGAGCCGCATCTTCCTGTGCTGATAATAAATTATAATATTAAAAATAGCTTACAACACTGTCCCCGTTCTGGATTGTGAAGTTCCCTGAACAATCTTAACACAAAAAGTAAAACATTACACTGACCTCTCCATTCACTAAGCCTTTTTTGTGAGTTTCTCTTTGTTAAACAGATGGACTGGCGTCTTATTCCTTGTTGTTATAACCATCTTCTCACAGGGAGAGCTCTCGACAGGAACTCTAGGCTCTCCCACAGGTAGACAAGGTCTTCTCTGGAGCTACCCAGTTGGCTGTTCCTTCACTGACGTACTTCCGTGGTGGATGATCTTTGGCTTGGATTGTTTATCCTTCTGGATTCTGTAAATCACACCATTCATTCTTCGCAGTACAAGAAATGGCCCTTTACAACACCTGCTGAACTTTGGAGTTTGTCCTTCATTGTAGTGGGGATTGTATAGACATACCTTCCCAACACCTGCTGAACTTTGGAGTTTGTCCTTCATTGTAGTGGGGATTGTATAGACATACCTTCCCAACACCTGCTGAACTTTGGAGTTTGTCCTTTCTTGTGGTGGGGATTGTATAGACATACCTTCCCAACACCTGCTGAACTTTGGAGTTTGCCCTTCCTTGTGGTGGGGATTGTATAGACATACCTTCCCAACACCTGCTGAACTTTGGAGTTTGTCCTTTCTTGTGGTGGGGATTGTATAGACATACCTTCCCAACACCTGCTGAACTTTGGAGTTTGTCCTTCATTGTAGTGGGGATTGTATAGACATACCTTCCCAACACCTGCTCAACTTTGGAGTTTGCCCTTCCTTGTGGTGGGGATTGTATCGACATACCATGCCATCTCAGTTGGAATTCTGTCTTATCAGTATTAACATAATATCAGCTTATCATTTTATCACTAGCTGATTAAATATTTCTCTGGTAAAGTCACATGTGGCAATGATAGTGATCCTTAGTATCTTGGAATATTCTGTGTAAGACTTTTATACAGGGCCATATCGATCATTGAGGGCTCCCTGTGCGGGATATAAATTCTGAGCCCCTCCCTTAAAAAAATCGAATCTATACTTGCCCTCAAAGATGCAAGCTTGTTCTCCCTACGGGTTGGCACTGTTCAAAAGAACGATACCGTGGTAATTTCATTTCAAAACCAATTTCGCAACAAGTATAATACAGGCAAACCCACAAATAACAGCAAATTCGATAAAAAAATTAATTAAAATAAGGAGAGTGTTCTGTAGTTGATAACTTGACTGAATTTTAACTAGTGTAAGAAATACACAGACTGGATACATTTAAATGACAGTGAAAACAATCTTTAGTTAGCCACAACATAAAAATAGTGTGGATACCAGCGTATACAAGTGGAAAATAGCCTCTACTGGATCAGTGAATAGTTCGCCAACTTTCCTTGAAGATGAATCTCTGCTGAACAAGTCAAGATGAAAGCCAATAAGTTGTTGTTTGTTATTAAGCACAAAGCTACACAAAAGACTATCCGTATGCCCACCACGGGTATCGCAACCCGGTTTCTAGTGGTATAAGTCCGCAGAAATGCCACTGGGGGGGGGGGGAGCCAAGAAGAACTAAACAAAGAAATTGTGCCTGGATTTCAAACATAAACTTGCTTTCTTTGTCCAGTGGACAGCATCACGTCGTAATCTCTTCTCTTAAACAGTTTTTCTAACTTTATTGTCATAATGGTGAGTTGCTGATAGCTTCATGTAGTGCTGTACGATAACTCACTTAATGATTATCCACATATGCAGCTAATTGATTTAACAGTGAGCAGTTGCATCCTTCCACTAAGCTATGAGAAGATGAGTGAAGAACTGTAGTTGTTATATTTTAAGTCCCAAGGATCTGACATTTTCTAATTCAATGTTCCATAACCACACCAAATATTCAAACAAATTCGTTTACAGGTTTCGTTTTCTTTGCAAGAGTTTCTGTTTCACTGTTAGGAACAGCATATTCTTCTAGCCATTTAATGAAATAGTTCATCACAACCATGTTGTATCTCTTCCCAATGCTGTTTCTTTTGTGAATCTTTATGTTCACAGTAGAATAGAATTTGCATGTTTTACACTAATTCTTCACAGAGCTCTGGTACCCAATCCAGTACAAGCGTTCTTTTATTCACTCCAGTGTCTTCTTAACACCCAAGCATCCAGCCACTGAAGGTTGAGGAGATGACAGAGTGTTTCAGAATGTAAAGACTGGGGAAGTAGCAACTGTACTAATTATCTCTGTCCATTAGTATCTTCCCATTTATGACATCATAACCTCTCTTGTAATCATGAGGAATCCCACTATGTCCAATACATGTTTTTCTTTGGCTGTATGGAAAGACTATTTGCCATGAGGGTCTTTATGCAGTCTTCTTGAGCCACCGAATAATTGGTTTTAAATTCGTATTTTTTGCCTGATCATCTTTCAAATGAATGCTAGACTACATCAGTTAATCATCATAACTTGTAGATGCTACGTATTGGACTACACTTTTACGTACTTTAGATTGTGGTCTTTTCTTTACAGTACTTCCCTCTTCTAACAGTGTTTATGCTCGTAATTAACACATTGTCTTCGAGATAGTGTGTCAGTATTTTCATGATTCCATTCAGGGTTATGCACGATGTTAACATTACATTCCTGAAGTTGTTTGCCTTTTCGGTTGAGAAAATTTAGCATCTACTTTAATGCTGCATTATCTGTACAGAGAATAAACCTTTGCCTATAGAAATAATAATGGTAGTGGCTCAGTGATTGAACAACACTTAGCAGCTCTTCTCGAGTTGTACAATATCTTAATTCTGCAGTACTCAACTCTTTCATATATTAGGCAATTACGTTTTTTTTTATCATATACTTATGACAAAGTTGCTTTCACTACAAAACTACTGGCATCTGATGAATGGATATTCCAGAGTTGGATATGCCAATACTGGAGCAGTAGTAAATTATTCCTTCAATTTGTTGAATGCTTTTCATAACCAGAAGTCCAATAAAACTTATTTGGCTTTTCAAGTAACTTGTGTAGAAATTAAGCTATGTCAGAAAAAGATATTACAAATTACAGCAAAGTCCACGAAATCCTTATACCTTATGTCGATTCCAATTCTAGACAGAGTCAATCTTCAGTGAATTTGTAGCTGTAATCAGTTGTCAGATCTACCCAGCTCTGGTTATACAACTCTTGTAAGTGATATGATAAGCTGTCCTTATGTTCCAGTT